CCTGCCAGACAGTCTATGTTTTTACTCTGTCCCAGCTCCCTGCCAGACAGTCTATGTTTTTACTCTGTCCCAGCTCCCTGCCAGACAGTCTATGTTTTTACTCTGTCCCAGCTCCCTGCTAGACAGTCTATGTTTTTACTCTATCACAGCTCCCTGCCAGACAGTCTATGTTTTTACTCTGTCCCAGCTCCCTGCCAGACAGTCTATGTTTTTACTCTGTCCCAGCTCCCTGCCAGACAGCCCACATTTTTGTTCCTTCAAAAATGTGGATCATCTGCATGTCCCCATGGTCCGGGTTGGGAAACACTTCTTCTCTGCCCCTTTTCATGTGTGATTGTGTGCATTTCAGTGTCTTGTGATGGACCAGCACCTCTTGCTCCCTACCTGCTGGCCCACCTTGCGCTGTACTGGGATGGGGTCCAGACTCACTGTGAACCTGCGCTGGAAACGGAGGCGTAGAAAATGGGTGGATGAAACCACACTGAACCACTAAATGTCTACTGTTAGAAAGCAGATTCAAAAAGGATACTACTATTCTGGCTTAGAAAAGGAAAACAAAAAATTATAGCGCACAGAGCTTGGACGATAGAGTTGGATGCCTGACTACAACGTTTCAACTTTGTAGACTACAAATCGTCCACATCCAGATCTGCAATTTTACAGATCTAGAAATACTCTACTATTTTTTAAATATTGACTTGTGATCTGCGCTACTCACTTATGGGTTAAATATTAATTTAGATTGCCACTCTCTCTATGGAGCATTAACATCAGTCGTCTTTCACCATGGCAGACTTCAGCGAGATTCTGCTTGTCATCGGCGATTTCGGACTGTTCCAGAAGCTGCTGCTGGTGGCGTTATGTTTCCCGGCAATGATGATGCCTTTTCAAAACTACAGCCTGATCTTCACGCACGCCGGCTTCACGCGCCATTGCAACACGGACTGGATCCTCAAAGTGAGCCCCAACCTCACCAGAGAGGAACAGCTGAACCTCACGGTGCCCAGGAAGCCGGATGGATCTCTGCAGAGCTGCGAGATGTTCATGCCGGTGGATTGGGACATCGAGGACATCAGACAGCACGGCCTCAATCAGACCACCTCGTGTTTGCATGGGTGGCAGTTTGACACCTCTGTGTTTAAGACCACGGTGGTCTCGGATGTGAGTATGACTGGGTGCAGAACTAGTGGGATTATGTAATAACACCAGTAGTGCGTGATCTCCAGCGTTGGTACCACAGTAGAAAATGCAATATATTTTAGCATTTTAACCCCTAAAATCTACTTTCTCTGTGTAAACCATCAGCAGTATCTGTTTAATATTAAATATTGATGTAGAAAACTTTATTTTCTCTTTCATTCAGGCCAAAATGTTATAGTTTTCAAACACTAGAGTATATTTGGGTTTTATTTCTCATATTTGATGTCTATCAATTGCTTTCAAAAATGAAATGATGTTTGATTCGCAATATAACAAGTTGAGCAGAATGTCAGTGGGTCATTCGATTGTTCTTTTCCCCAGTTTGAACTGGTCTGTGATAGGGCCAGCTTCTTAGGAATTGCCCAGACCATTGGTCTGTCCGGCATCCTGTTTGGCTCACTCATTTTTGGTCCTCTGGCTAAATCGTAAGTATGCGTGTCACTGGACATATACCCCAAAGTGCTTCTGCGTGATCCTCCAGCACCTTCGGGGAAGCCTTGCGGCATTAATATCCTTAGTTTTTAATATCCTTTAGTCTTTCTGCTGACTTGATCTGAATTACACATCTCATGGACTGTGGAATCGTGCTTGACTGAGATTTCACTCTCTTCTAGGCTCGGGAGAAAACGAGCAACTCAGATATCGCTGATCATCATGGCTGTCTTCACCTTGACCACAGGATTTGCCCCGACATTTTATGGCTATTTGATGATCCAGTTCATTGTGGGGTTTTCTTATGGAGGCTACCGTGTGAACAGCCTCATACTTGGTAATTAATGTAGGGGTTCCTATTTTGTAAGCAGTGATCAAATTAAATCAAATAGGCTTTTATTGTCAATAAAATGATGCTGTGTGTATTAGGGATGTGCATCTCCATCACTGGTGAATGCATTGCCAACCAACTTTATATTAAAGAAACTTATTAAGCAACTACTAGTGCAATACGGTATGATTTGTTCCTATTGCGATGCACTGCAATTCAACATATGCATTGTGTAAGAGTTTTTTGTGTTAACCAAATGCAATTTGCACTTTTTTGCTTTTGGTTTGTTTCTTTTTAGTTTGTTTATTGTGTAAACAATTATGTTGCTCATTGGCAGGTTTGATGATGTCATAAGCATGTGTTTCCTCCAATAGCAACAGAGTGGATTGGGGTGACAAAGCGATCATTACCCTCATGCATCAGTCAGGTCGTCAATAGCCTGGCACAGTGCATCGTAGCTGGGGTTGGTTACGCCATCCGTGACTGGCGAACTGTCCAGCTGATCCTCACCTCTCCTCTGCTTCTTGTCCTCTTCTACGTTTGGTACGCCGCTTCCCTTTGACTAGTTGACCTCCTTGGTTGTCCGCTCCCTCCATATTAAATGAGCTGGCTTTTCCCACTTCTTTTCTCTCAAATCTGAAGGCTGATCCCGGAGTCAGCGAGATGGCTCCACGATTGTGGAGAAACCGAGGAGGCGGAGAAGCTGATTCGCAAGGCGGCGGCTGTCAATAAGCGTCCGGTCCCGGACAATATCCTGGGCAAGGTGTGTCTGTCACTTTCCTTAATGCTTGCACCGTGTGGCTCAGTGGGCTAAGCCTGTGTGTCTGTAATCAGAAGGTTGCCGGTTCAAACCCAGCCTCAGTACGTCTGTGTGTCCTTGACCAAGGCCCTTAACCCCCAGCTTCCTGGGCGC